TAATTTCTTTTCAAACCCCCGAAAAAAAACGCACCTCAAATGAGGCGTACGCCTCATTTTTTTTGCCAAAGATGTAGTGGCGGGCGCCTCATTTTTTTTTGCCTCACAGATTGAGCTCGAGGCACAGAAGCTGTGACTCACAGTGAGGCGAGCCTCAAGGCGGGTTTCAACAGGGTTTTTTCATACCATGGTGAATGCTCAAGGTAATTAGATTACATCCGATGTGTTTTCACTACTAGCATCTCTGCAATTTTGCATATTAATGCTTGACATGGCTACAGGAATGCTGCAAACATATGAATTCATATTCAATCCACTGCCTTACCAGTGATCTGCTCTTCAGTTCAACTATATGAATACTTCGTTAAATTTGAAATGGAACACTGGAGGGAAGAGCAAAAACTACTTTTTAGTTAGAACTAAGCTACTTTATGTTGATTAGTCTTAAATTATGAACAGCTGGTCAACGTGACCTTATAATTTTCTCACAAGTAGACATTCTTCCTGTTCTGATGTACTCCAATTTCATATTGATTATGCAGACATTAATCTTTTGTTTTGTTGATTCATTTAGATGCTTGTTTTCATGGTCAATGAAGTTTATTGGCAAATACTAATCAAAGATGAGAGAAAATACTCTTGAACTTGCAAATGCAGCTAACATATTTATTAAGCCCCTCCTTGGTCTTAATTTTTTGCCTGATTACGTAATTGAAATATAGGTTTCGACAGTACACACAGCAACCTAAGCAAACTACTAATTCATCCACAAAATAACATTGTCATTGATCTAATCACAACATAAACTCATGCTTTGCCCTTTCCTTTGTCCATTCTTTCCACACTTGGGCTTTCTTTGCGAACTGTCACACTCATAGAAACCTCCACAAGATGTTCGTCAATGAACCGACACTGAGTTTTGAACATGCCGCAGAGTTCTTTAGCTACTTCAGTCGGCACAAGGAGCAGTCGTCGTAATGCTAACTAACTTTGATTCACCACTACTTTCACCCTCGTCGCATTTTGAGCTACAACAATTGAATAATCGCCCTTTGTTCTTGGTGTCCTTCTCCACCTTGAAACACTTGAGAAATGCATGTCATTGCAACCTATGAAACAACAAAATATAGCGATTATCATTGCGATGCAAAAATTGATTACACTGAACAAATGATTTCATAAACGAGTTTAGTTTATACTAATTAATCTCCACTTAAACCACAACATCCCACTACCACAGCCATCATCTTCCCCCATCCCATCATAGTGAAGGAAAAAACAAATTAATAAGTGTCAAATTTGAAAACAAAATCGGTTATACTAATTACTATCCGCTTAGACCACAATATCCCACCAGCACAACCGTCATCTTCCCCCAGTTTCTGCAGTGAAGAAAAAAACAAATTGAGAAGTGTCGAATTTGAAAACTAAATCCGTCGAACCAAACTTCATCTGTGATAGGGCACAAAATTGAATTCGAGAAGGGGTCTTCCAAATACATCAACCCCGAAGTTCAATTCATCTTATACCTAGTTTCCCTTTGATGCAAAACCTATCGGAGATTATGGTTGCTGGCTGCTTTGGAGGAATAAAACGTGGGCAAATGGCTCACAAATGGAAGATTGAAGCTATGGAGATCTTGTATTCCATTGCCATCGACGGT